CCTTCTTCTGGCTTTCGTAATCCTTCTTGCCACGCTTACGGGTTTTTGCTTCGTCAAGAGAAAGCGCGAAAATGTGGTCGGACGATCTTTAAAGGACGACTCGTGGTACGTGAAGTCCTTCCAGGTGTTGACCTTCACGGAGGACGAGATTCTCGACTCGATTAAACCGGAAAATTTGATCGGCAAGGGCGGCTCGGGTATCGTGTATCGAGTCATGGTCGGTAATGGGAAAGAATTTGCTGTGAAGCACATTTGGCACTCAGACGAGTACACTGCCCACAACCCAGGAAAAATTGGGGGCTCGAGCTCGACACCCATTCTGGAGAGACGTGGGCCCAGCAAGTCCCGTGAGTTGGAGGCTGAGGTCCAGGCATTGAGCTCAATACGGCACATAAATGTGGTTAAACTCTTGTGCAGCATAAGCAGTGAGGGCTCCAGCTTGTTGGTCTACGAGTACATGCCGAATGGGAGTTTGTGGGACAGGTTGCACAACAACTGTAAGAAACTGGGGCTCGATTGGGAGACGAGGTACGAGATTGCGCTCGGAGCCGCTAAAGGTTTGGAGTATTTGCATCATGGCTGTGATCGACCTGTGATTCATCGTGACGTGAAGTCTAGCAATATTCTCTTGGACGAGTATTTGAAGCCCAGGATCGCGGATTTCGGGCTTGCAAGGATCGTTCAGGAAAATCCGATCAAGGAGTCGACTTGCTTCATTGCCGGAACGCATGGGTATATCGCCCCAGGTACAAAAAAGAATGATCAAATTGCCTCGTGATTACTTTAGAAGTTTGTTCATATCTAATATAATTCTCTCTGGTTTGTGTTTTTGCAGAATATGCGTACACGAACAAGGTGAATGAAAAGAGTGATGTTTATAGCTTTGGGGTTGTGTTAATGGAGCTTGTGACGGGGAAAAGGCCTACGGAGCCTGAGTTTGGGGAGAACAAAGACATTGTTGACTGGGTTTGTGGCAATCTGAAAACCAAAGAGACAGTAGCCAGCTTGGTTGACTCAGCCATTGATGAGATTCAGAGAGAAAGTGCCATCAAGGTTTTGAAAGTGGGCCTGCTTTGCACGGCCAGGCTCCCGTCTTTAAGGCCGACAATGAGAACCGTGGTCCATATGCTCGAGGAGGCTGATCCATCTCAATATGTTGGCATTCTTGTTACAAAAGATTAAGGGAGTTGGGTGGAGAATGGGAGAGTTTGACGGTTTGATCCGAAAATGTTCGTGATTTTGCTATGCTATGCTAGAACGCGTCGGGATGAGATACCTCAATAATATCATTGAGTCACATTTAGTTATACATTTATTTAGATCTTAACCATGTATATCATGCCACATCACGGTGTTGTACAAAAAATTGTACAAATGGCTGGCTTTTTTTCCAATAAATTTTGTTCTGCGTGTATACATACATATATATATATATATAAGAAAAAAAAAAAATTGTTGTAATTTGTATATTGACGTTGTAGGATTGTCATGTATGGAAAGGGAATCTTTCGTGTTTGAGGGCTTGGATAGTTGGATTTAATAGGAACAATAACACAGTAGCATCTTCCGAACAGGACAGTTGAATTCAATTATTGACAGCCCACATAAATATTATAAATGGACCATCAGGAATTATATAACAAAATGGTTCAAGGACACATGGTTGAAGCTTTGAAAAATCGTTTACAAAAAGATGATGATTCTAAAATATTACTCTCATTTCCCAACTTGGGTTGATTTCCAAAAATACAAAGTACAATGTCTATTTATAGTTACACCACAAACACACATTTAGTGAAATTATGAACGCTCAATGTTGCGAAATGAGGTTCGGGCTGCAAATTGTGGACTTGAAATGGGCATAGGCACGCGCAACGTCGCGAAAATTCATTGGGGTCGCGAACATGGACTTGGCCCTGGCAAAGGCACACGCAACGTTGCGAAATGGCACTGGGGTTGCGAAATGTGGACTTGACATTTGTACAGGAACGCGCAACGTCGCGAAAACGCATTGAGGTCGCGAATTTGGCCTGGCAGCGTTGCGAAATCACATTGGGGCCGCGAATTGGGCCTGGCAGCATGATCGTGGGTCTTAACTCAAAAATCTCCCGGAATAGCTCGGAACGGTTCGAGTGGTTCGAGCGGCTCGGAAATGACTTGAAAATGGCACGTCTTCCGAAGCTTTCTCAATATGGACCTAATCAACACCAAAATAAACGAGAAAATACGGTAAAACATAATAA